AATGGTTACAGCCATGCAGCATTCCTGTAGCAGGAGACCATTTTCCACACTGCCAAGAGAATTCCCTGCTTCACTTAATTTCACCTTCTTACCTTCAATACTCAAGCCTGAAACCCAAACTGCCTATTTTTCTAGCAAGGTACATGGAATTAAGAGTCAAAACCCAAACAGGGTATGGAAATCTGAGCTAAAATGTTTGATGACAAATGAAAATTGCAGCTTAAATATTTAACTCTGCTTGGCAGAGAATCCATGCTGGTAAAAAGAGGCACAAGTCTTCCTGCTTAAATCCAACTTCAGCTGTACCACAGGGTTCACACAGTGTTGTGTTGGATATTCCTGCTCCACAAAGCAGGGAAGAGAGTGGATGGAGTTGGTGTGTCAGCTTGGCACTGTGCTCCTTGGAGCTGCTGCTGCTGCTCCTGCAACCTGTTCAGGTGCCTCTGATGGCTCCTGGAGACAGCAAACTGCAACAGCACCTTGCCTGCCTGTATCCTTTCCTGCCCAAATATTCCTCCTGCCTTCCATTCCCGATGGGATTCAATCTGTACTTTGAAGGTAGAGCTGTACCCAGTGAGCACAGTGATGGTTTATGCAGCAAACCACCCACCTGGACAGGGATATCCTGCAATCCAACCATCACCAGATTGCTGTGTGGAGTTGAAAAACTGGATGAATCGATGCATTTTGGCAGATGTAACCTTGTGTTTTTCCAGGATGCTTTGATTTAATGGATTTCTGGGCTCACAGTTTGCTATTCTCAGTTAAACTCTGGGAAGTGTTGGAAGTAGCAACAGGAACTCTCCTTGCAGTTGTAGTGTTGGGAAGTGACTGGGGCATGTGGATGTGTGGATTGATTGAACAAACAGGCAAACAATAAAACTGTTGGTTGATTCACATAACCTGCAACTGATCCTTTCTGCACTGAAAATTTCCCACCTGATTTGCAACCAAATATCAAACTGAAAGAGAGGAAATTTAGGTTAGATATGAGGAAAGAAATTCTTCCCTGTGAAGGTCATAAGGCACTGGCACAGGTTGCCCAGAGAGATGGTGAATTCCCTATTCCTGGGAATGTTTCAGGCCAGGTTGGATGGGGCTTGGAGCAACCTGGGCTAGTGGAAGGTGCATGGCAGGGGGTGGAACTGGGTGAGCTTTAAGGCCCTTTCCAACCCAAACCAGTCTGGGATTCTGTTGTGTAGGAGAGCAGGATGCTGATCCCAATGAAAGTAGATTTAGCTTCTGTTCTCTTACAGACACAATGTTCCTAGTTTGAGGGTGAAAAAGTGAGAGAAACCATCTGTTCTCCATCTCAAATAACTGTCATCATCCTACAGCAATCAGAAGACTTGTGATTTTCAGGGGAAAAAATACTTTCCTCTATAATTAACACTTCTCCTGCAAATCTTATCTTTCAGATGGGAAGAGGAGCTGACAAGAAGGATGAGCCTGGAATCTATGGTAGAAACCTTAAGAGAGGTAAGGTTTGAATAGTATGTTCTGAAAGGTGTAGGGTTTTCTGCACCTTTTATCATGCTGGTTATGAATTTGTCTTTCATTAATCTGACCTGAGCTAGAGCAGCTGCTTGTGCTGCTGCAGAGGATGGTGTTAATGCTGGGAAGGTGCTGAAGTTTGACAGAGTGGAAGGAGAGGGTGGTGACATGCCCTATCTGCCTGCTCAGGTTAAGTGAGGAGCATATGTTGTCCTCAAACCTCTCATCTCTGTGTGCTTTCTCTTGCAGGAAGCACAGGAAGCAGAAGCTCTCCAGGAGGAGTTAAATGAAAAGATTGAGAGACTGAAAGCAGAACTTGTGGTCTTTAAGGGTCTGATGAGTGATGTAAGTACTCTGGAGAGCAGAGTGGCCAATCCCACTGCCTTTGTGACCTGTGTGTGTCATGCAAATGGCTTCATTCATGACGAGGTGATGGTCTTAGTGAGTGCTGCTTTGTAGTTAGCTGGTGGCTGCCTCTCTGATCTAATGCATCAGACAGATCACCCTTCCCCCTGCTTCCTGTCTGGTCTGTGGAGAGATGCATTAACTTGCTGCTTAGCCCATAACCCAGACTCTTCCCTCCCTTCCCGTTCTCCTCAGCTGGCAGTGCAGCCATTCAGGTCTGCAGCCCTGGAAAAAAAAAAAAAAGTGGTGGAGAACTCACAGGTTAGGGTAAAGGTTCCTCACTGTGTGGCACCATGTGCTGCTGACCAGGGGATTTTGTTCTGAGTTGTGCAAGAATCTCATGATCCAAAAGGAACACACTCTATAGAATGATTTGGGTTGGAAGGACCTTAAAGCTCATCCAGTCCCACTCCCTGCCATGGGCAGGGACACCTTCCACTAGCCCAGGTTGCTCCAAGCCCCATCCAACCTGGCCTGGAACACTCCCAGGGATGGAGCAGCCACAGCTGCTCTGGGCAACCTGTGCCATTGCCTCAGCACCTCACAGGGAAGAATTCCTGTATCCCATCTCCCTCTGAGAGCTCTGAAGAGATGAATGCAGTATCCCTGGCTCAGGTATTGCCTTTGTTTCCAGTGCTGCTTCAAGCTATTGGTTTTGAGAAGAAGACTTGTTTTCCTCATGTCTCCTTAGACATTGACTTCCCTTCAAAGCCACAGGATCTTTTAGGCTGTGACTGGAGAATTTGCTGACATTTAGGCTTAGTGAGAACATGTACTCATGCAGATATGTAGGAAGATAAACCAGGTGAACATTAAAGTGCCTTTCTCTGTGAGACTTGAAGTAGTGCTGATGTCAGTTGTCTAACAAATGAATCCTATTGTGCTGATTTATTCTGTAATTTTACATACAACTACCTTCTCCTGACTTCATCTAACTCGCAGAACCTGCTCCAGGGTGTCAAACACATTCTCTCAGGGCCATTAGGTCTGTTCATGAGAAATCCAGCAATTAGCTGTGTCTCCTTTTGGTGTTTAATCGAGGATGGCCATGCTTGGTTAGAGGCAGTGTGAAAGGGACAAACTGGTTGGGGCTGCAGCCCTGGGATGACTTTTATCACTGAGCTCTGTGTGTACAAAAAGGGTGGTGGAGAAGGCAAACATCCTCCTTAGCTTGAGAGAAAGTGCTGTGGGCTTAGCAAGCTCTGTCAGGGAGAAGAGAGGCCAAGGAAAGTGCTGAGAATGTTTGGTTGGAGTCTCACTGGGTAAATATTTAGAGCAGGGAAATGCAAGATGTTGGCACGTGGCTCTTGCCTTCCTGCAGATAAGAATCATCAGTATCTGTGCAGTAGATAAGATTGTGTTGAGTGTGTCAGTGTTTAGAGATTTGTTTTTCTGACTGTGCTTAGAAAACAAAAATCTCTAACTTGGCCAAAGGTGATTGACTGGAGAAGACTCTGTCTAATAATTAAATGAAAAAAAGGTGGAAAAACTCAAACCAATTAATCCTCAAAGCTTTTCCTCTTGGAAAGGGGATTAGTATTCAAGAATGCTCTGCAAAGAGTTTTTCCACTTTCCTGGTCCAAGTGCCTAAGCATTGAAGTGGGACTTTCTAACAGAGTAGGCTGGAAAAATATGCTTTTTGTTTTTTTTTTTTTAATGTTTCTTCATAAGGAACCAGATGCACTGTCTGAGTGGGAGTATTTCTTGTAAGTTATGTTTGTAACTACTGCCCAGAGTGAAGCAAGGCAATACTTCTCACACAGTCTTTGCTAGGCTGGAAGCCAGTGGTTTAAAACAGTTTCTGTGTCACAAGCTTCCATGGATCTCTTTAGATCCGGACTTCATTTGATGACTCCATGGTATGTGTGAAGTTGCTGTGTAGCCTGGACTCTGACTAAAACTAACTTCTTTCAGGCACAGTTTTTGTGTCTGAATGGGAAGTGTTGCATCCTCATCAGGTTTTAGATTTCATTGTACTCTGCACATGCCACAAAGGGTTTTTCTCCTGTGTTTTAAAGTGTTATCCAGAGAATCCCAAAATGGTTTGGGTTGGAAGGAACTTTTAAGACCATCTAGTCCTAACCTCCTGCCATGAGCAGGGACACCTTCCTCTAGCCCAGGTTGCTCCAAGCCCCATCCAACCTGACCTGGAACACTTCCAGGGATGGAGCAGCTACAGCTTCTCTAGGCAACCTGTTCCATTTTCCAATCTGTTACTGACCCATAAAAGTTCACTGTTGCCACATTTAGCAGCTGGTTTGGGGTGGGTATAGGTTTTTTTGCAGTGGCAAATCCCTCTGAGTTGGACTTTAATTAGCTGAGGTATGAATGTTGATTGTTAGCTGTGGAGTCTATGCAGCTTGTCCGTGCTCTGCCTTCCCAGAGAACAAGGTGCAATGTTGTTTAAGGAGGGTATGGCCTGGGGTTAGAGAGATACTGTGGGGTATCTCCTCTTTCCTGAACTGTATAATAATAGAAGATAATCACTGCTGTCCTTCCTGCAGCCCATGACAGACCTGGACACAAAGATCCAAGAAAAGGCCATGAAGGTGGACATGGACATCTGCCGTCGAATCGATATCACGGCCAAGCTGTGCGATGTAGCACAGCAGCGCAACTCGGAAGACGTTTCCAAGATATTCCAGGTGATTAGGCCATCAATTTTCCATAGGGCAGGGCAAGAGGGAGCAGTGTTGTCCAGGTCATTTGCCTTTTCTTGACATTTCTCTCTGTAGACACACTTAGGCCTGGCAGTGTAGCTCTCCTCAGAAGTTGCTGTAGCACTAAGAGCACGACATGGAGAGGGTTTAAAACCAGAAGGCTCAGGATGACCTTTAAGACATGCTGTTAGTCTGATGCTAGTCTACAATGAATGCAGGGGAGGAAAAAACCCTAAAAGCAGCATTACAGGGCCTAGGTTTGTATAAATTACGCCCTCCCATTTGTTCCCTTCACAAGTGAGAGGTTTGAGCTTGTAGAACTGTCATCTGAATGTTCTTATTTCTGGCTCGAGCTCCATGGCCAGAAATAACACTTGTGTGGTGGTGAGCTCTGGCTGCTCTGTGAGACAGAAGCTCCAGGTGCTTTCCTTGAGCTGTTGGGGCTCCTTGGTGCTAGAAGGAAAGTCATTTCATTTGCTCCAAAGGCAAGCAGTGACAGCTCTGCCTGGAGCAAACCTGTAACTCCCAGTGCAGTTAGTCTTCTGTCTCAACTGCAGTTTCAATCATGATTAACCCACCTTCCTTCTGCTTCAGTCTAAATGTGTCTCATTCAGTCTTTCAGTAAATCTGTTTCTTTTCTGTGTCTAGTGACACCATAGAGTGTGCTAAATGGTGTCTAAAACGACTGTGAAAGATCCTTGTGGTCTCTACTAGTGAAGCTGCCTAAATGTTTGATGGGGTTTTTTTCCCTTATGTGCCCCAAAATACTGAGATCTCCTTAGAAGATACAATCATTTCTCTGGCATGTTGGGCCACTGCATTGTGCTAGTGGTTCCTTCTTGTCTCTGAGTAGAATTGCTGAGTCTTTCTGCTCGAAGGTAACTGCAGAGCACATTTGTGGTCAGGCATGCAGTGGTTAAAATGATCAGGAGAACAAGACCAATAAGGGGTTTATATGCCAAGGAGAGGAAAACCTGCAGTGGGCTGGGAGTGGACTGTGTGTTTGTGGCTCTGTGGCACCAGCTGTGAACATCCTCTGTGTTCACAGCCCTCAGGTGAAGCAGTGATCCTCTGTGTCTGTCACAGGGGTATCCCTGGAGTTCTCTGAACTTCCTTTCTTTGAGGCTATCCAGGCATTTTCACAGCTCAGTTAACCTTTCTTCTGTCAGCCTGAAGATTCTCACTCTGCTGCTGCTGATGGGGTGGGGACAACCCTGAAATAAAGGCTCTCTGACAAGGCTTTCTGTCTGTTCCTTTGTGGTGGGTCAGGGCTGGAGGCAACAGCCTGTGGTGGTGGCAGGAGAGGGAGAGTTCTGTCACTGCTCTCTGCCTGCTGCCTGGGCACTGCTCTCAGCTTCTGCTTGTTCCCTGTACCACTCTAACCTCTGCATGTCCTCTGGTAGATCCCAGACTGCTGCCAGTGAGCAGATGGACATCTGTAGAGTTCTGGCAGCCTGCAGCTTGCTTTGCTCTTCACCCTTCTGAACTGCTTCCTTGTGCTCTGTGTTCACCACTCATTACAGACGCAACTCCTGTCTCGAATCCCCCAGCAATCCACCCTGGAATTGCCTGGGAGCTGATGAACACCTATATTTACTCACACCTAATGCCTGTCCTTTACTTCTACCCCTTTTATTTCCTTCACCCACCTCAGTTGAGCCTTGTAGTCACTGCTCTTCTCTCCAATTAAGGTGGCTTCCAAGAAGAAGGAACGTAAGCTCACGTCCGACGATGACCTCTCGGAGCAGGATGGGGACAACAGCAGGTTCTCTGATGATGAAGTCAGCTGTTCCCTCAACATCACAGATGAAATGAAGAGGATGTTTAATCAGCTGTGAGTATTGTGGGGAAAAAGTGTGAAATGCAGCCTTAGCCCCAGAACACCTGAGCTGCAGCATGGCACAGGCCTGAAGGGTTTTTTGGAAGCTCAGATAAAATGAACTGATTTTTGCTCCTTCCTTAAGTACAGAGAATAGAAGAAATACAACTAGTTTTATTACTATGTGTTGTTGTAATAATAACAAAAGGAGAAACATGCAGCAAAGCCAACAGAAAGTACAAAATTTGAGTCAATTTTGTGTGTTTGGCTGAATATTTCATTTCTAGAGGTCTGGAATGAATCTTGCTGCTGCTGCTTGGGCTGGATAGAATTTGGCAACATGGCTGAAAGCTCAGTTTGAAATGGATACAAACTTCTCAAGTATTTTGGATGATTTTGCAGTGGAGCTGTAGGCAAATGGGATTGGTGGCTCTGTCCAGAAGATCAGTTCTAGCAGTGAGCAAGACAGATTCCAAGAAAGTCAGTGTTGTAAGATGTGCTGCTGAGTCTGGTCTCCCAAACTGGAGGAATGGGAGTTTATTTTGCCTAAAGCTTTACCCCAAACCAGGGTTAGGAAGTTTGTAGCATCCCAGAAGGGACTCTTTACACCTGAGCATTTCAGGAAGGTGCTTGGTGGTGTACCCTGTGTTCTCCTCTCCCATTCTGGATAGGATGGCAATAACCACAGCCTGGTGAGGCTTTTGGAGGTCTCTGCTGTTTTCTTTTAGCAGAGAAAAGCCCCAGGAAGCACCATAGGTCTGAGTTCCCCAGGGTTTGAATGTGGGTGTTTTCCACAGTGACTGCAGAGAGAACTCCCAGTGCTTTCCCACGCAATGTAGGACAGTTTTTAATGTGTAGGAGTACACAAGGAATTGTCCAAGAAGCATCAGCTCCTCTTCTGTTGTCAGCTGCTGCCAAGAGTTCTGTTTGCAGGGAGACTGTCTCCTCCTGAATTTTCTGTGTAGGAGGGCATGGTTTTTTGCAAAAGTTGTGGATAATTCCCCTTCTTAGGACTCTTGTTAGTTGTCTTTGGGCCCTTATTAATGGTCAGTGTAATAAACACAATTTTTGACTTGTGTCAAAAGCTTCTCACAGAACCACACAATGTCCTGAGCTGGAAGAGACCCACAAGGATCAAGTCTAACTCCAGGCCCTGCACAGGACAATCCCAACAATCTAACCTGTCCCTGAGAGCATTGTCCAAACACTCTTGGAGCTCTGTCAGACTTGGGGCTGTGACCACTGCCCTGGGGAGCTGTTCAGTGCCCAAACACCCATTCTCTTAACATTTTATCTGTAATGAAGTTATTCTTTAAGGTGTCTGGTAGTCAGAAGTGAAAATGCAGTGAGTTTTGAGCAGTGTGTGTGTGCCTGAAGTCAGTGCTCTGTGACAAGTACAGATCTTGCAAAAAAATCCCCTGATTTGAAGAAGTTGAGTGCAAAAGGCACAATCATGAATGTCCAAGTTCTCTGGGGTGTTTTTTTTTGCAAATGCTTTTTTTTACAGTCATGCTGACTCTAGACAAACAGCCTGTCTCTTGCCAAGCTCCTCAGCCTCTGAGGACAGTATCAGACTCTCCTTCCGGCCTGAGATCTTATCTGCTGCAAAGGAAGTGAGCTAAAGGAAGAAAAATGCATCAGTGGGAGATTTGTCTGCTGCTGCTGGGAGCAACTAGAGCTTTTTGTCAGGCCTACTGAACCAGGAGGAGAAGCAGCTACTGGTGTTGGGCTTTGCTGCTGTTCAAACCAAAAGGGACTGACTTGAGTGCCCTCTGAAACTTTCCTTTATTGCACAACCCACTGCACAAATGAGGCCTGAGCAAACAGCAGTGTTAAAGGCCACTCTGGCCACTGTTTGCTCAGCCTTAAGTGACTGTATCAGTATCTTCATCGTTCAAGTCAACAAGGAATGTTTATGTTCACCTACACATCACTTTGGCCTTTAGGGTTTTTTTTTTTCCCTAGTTGTTCCTTCTGAAAAATCAAGTTTAAGTGCTGCAGGGAAAGCATTGGCTGAACTCCCCCATGAAATCAGCATGGAGCCTTCTGGTGTCTGTTCCTTGTAAAATTCCTCATGCTGTGTTTGGGCTCATTTTCCCATGTCTAAAAAGAATAGTTTTCAAACATTTTTGTGGTTTTGCAGACAGGGGAAACTACTGTGCAGCTCCATCTGGAGGTCAGAGCCAGGGCTGTGTGCTCAGAGCAGCAACACCAACAAGGAGCTTTTATTCTGCTTTGGGGTGGCAAAGAGCCCAGGAGAGAGGGACTTGGACAGTGGCAAAGCCTGTTTGTAAAAGCTGTGAGGATTTTCAGCTGCTGCATTGTCCCCTTCATTCATCTCTCATAGCCCATTTTTCTAGACAATTAATTAAAGGACTGAGGCAGTGGGGCTGGAGTGGGTCCATTAATGCTGCTTCTGTTCTCTACCAGCCGTGAGACCTTTGATTTTGATGATGACTGTGATAGTTTAACATGGGAGGAGAATGAGGAAACTCTGCTGCTTTGGGAAGACTTCACCAATTGCAACCCTTCAATTGACCTCCAAGGAGAGGTGAGTTTATTCCTGTTGTTTTCCTCAACTATTCTCTGCAGCAACTCTATCCCTCAGCTGCTCCTTGAGCCATTTGAGCCTGTGGATATGTGACTGGTGATCTAGCTTGCTACACAAACTTGCTTTGGTTTTAAAATCCTTTTAGTGCTTTGTGATTGTCTTCTAGTCTGTGCAATCAGTTTATTTGCCAAACTTGATTTCTTCTGCCCCTTCCAACTGAGTATTTACAAGTACCAAGTGATAGTCAAAAGATGCAATGTGTCTGGCTGTTCCAGGAGCACCAGGCACTGTCTCCCTAAGCAGTCCTTTCTCTAAAGCTCTTTACTGACAGAGAGCTGGTTTAGATTAGATATTAGGGAAAAATTCTTCCCTGTGAGGGTGCTGAGACACTGGCACAGGCCACCCAGAGCAGCTGTGGCTGCTCCATCCCTGGGAGTGTCCAAGACCAGGTTGGATGGGGATAAATACTCATTTTGAAGGGGCAAAAGAAATCAAGTTTGGCAAATAAACTGATTGCACAGAGTAGAAAGCAATCACAAACAAGCTGGGCTAGTGGGAGGTGTTCCTGCCCATGGCAGGGGGTGGAACTGGTTGTTTAAGGTCCTTCCAACCCAAAGCATTCTATGATTTTTCACCCAGCATCTCACTTTCTGTGTGCATTATCCTTCACACTTTAAGCACAGAATAGTGTGGAAGGATGAGATTGCACAGTTATTCTTGTGGGGAGCAAACCAACCTCAGTGTGGTCTGTGGAAGATGTTAAAGGATATATATCCCACCCCAAACAAAGAAGCTGTGGTTGCAGGAGTACAGAAAGCCCCAGGGATCTTGTGAACCTGTGAATCTTGTACTTCCATCTTTCCAGGCAATAGGAATCTGCTGGCAGTGCTGGATAATGAACAGCTTACTTTTAATCCTTAAGATCTCACACAAAGTCAGCTAATGTCAGTGACTCCTGAGCCTTTTTAACCAAGCCTGAGGAGTGATGGGAATGGCCAGGGCAGGCTGAAATGAGAAGCTGCTCTTTCATTACTGAGCAGCACAACGGCAGCAGGTGAGAAATAATCCTGCTGCCTCCCATCACCACTGGAGTGTGAAGGTGCTGAGACAGCAGTCTCTGGAATATTGTCTTGTGTTGGCTGCTGGGGTGTGTTAATGTTACATCTCCCCATTTGTGGCTCATCTGGAGACTGCAGAGATTACTGGGAAGTGCTGGGAGTGCAGAAAGCAGCGTGCTGAGCTCCTTTGGAGCAGGGAGAGAGTGGCAGAGTGATAATGTGGAGCCTGTGCTGGAATTAGTGACAGGCTGATTTGCATAGAGCCATGTGTGCATGGCTAAGCACAGCTAGCAGAGGAATATTGCTGAACCCAGCCCCTACGTGTGGAAACTCTAAAGATTTTAAGAAGCTTAAATCCTTCTAAATGAAAATTATCCAAGGAAAGGGTAGATTTGGCTTGTAGATGGAGATTCAGAATAAAGACTGCTCGTGCTGTGCCTGGTCTTTAACATATGCTTTACATGCCTGAATCTTCCTTCCATGGGCTTTATTCCTTTCAAGTTCTTACACACTGCCCTTACCACCTTCTTTTGTGACCTTCCTCCTTAAAGCTTCTGCATATAAAAGGATCAGTGGGATGATTCTTGTAGCTCCAGGCTGGATAGCCTGGTGTGGGTACCAGCAATGAGCCCAAGAAATCTCCCACACATGTGGCCAAAAGATGGGGACATAATTAACACTCATCAGTGCAGTTACATGAAACTGATGATGATTTTTTTTTAAATTTATTTTATGGCAAACAGAGGTAGGTAATAACCTGCAAGTGAGAACAATGACATTGTTCTGTCTCTTTGTGACAGCATCCAATAGCTCTGTGTGGTTTTTAGCCCAGACTACAAAGCAGTGAAGATCCAGGAGCTGCTGTCTGGCAGGAGGTTTCCTTTGGGACAGCATTTGTTCCTGTGTGTGGTGTTTCCAGCAGTGGTGGGCTGGAGTGAGCTGGCTTTACCCAGCAGTGCAGGGAGGAATTTCAATGGGAAGCAGAGCGTGCAGAGCATACATGTGAGGTGCTGCAGAGTAATAACATGTAATTGGAAAATGAGAATTCCAGTGCAAAGCTGTAAGTAGCAAGGTGGGCAATACAAGGAAAAATTGAGTTTCATGGCTGCAGAGCGATTACAGCCTGGCCAAGTGTGATCAGACTGTGAAAGGCTCCAGAAAATCCAGGGGTTTGTGACTTGGCATGCATCAGGTATAAGGGTTTAATTGTCTGTAGGTTCCTTGATCAGATTTTGTGTGGCCAAAGCTATGTGTCTCCTGATATTGCAGTGTGAAGCAGCAGAATATTCCTTGCCTGTGTAAAAATGTCTTTAAAAAAATAAATCTGCTTGAAAGCACATAACAACTTGCATTTCTGGTGAGGTTAAATAAAAACCTTCAGTCTGCTCCTGAATCCTTTGTTATTCCTTGCTAATTCTCTGTGTCCTCCTTTACCCTGCAGGAAGAAAACCTGGGAAACTTGATCCACGAGACAGAGTCTTTCTTTAAAACGAGAGACAAGGAATACCAAGAAACAATAGGGCAGATAGAGGTAAGGAAGGGGATTGTGACCATAGGAATTGTTGCTAATGGATGGAAACACACACAGTGTTCTGGTCTGGTGTATCCCAGAGGGAAGAAGGAATGTCTATACATCTAAGAATGTAAAGGCATTTTCCTCTGACATACCCTAGGGACTTGCCCTAAATGCCGTTCTCCCTACTATTATTGCTCCATACTTTAGCACTGAGCATAAATCTGAGGCTGGTGGAGAGAGAACCTTCAGAACAAAGAGAATAACACACTGTTATTCTTTCCCCCCCCCCTTTGTCTTGCATATCCACCCTCACCCTGGGAAACCTCACAGGTTCCCAGACACAACAGCTGTAGCTTCTCAAATCTTTGCCTTGCCTAGAATATGTTTTCATTAATTACTCCTTGTTGACAAACAAGATGCCAAGCAGCAGAGAAAAAAAACCAACAAAACACAACTCCAGGGCTGTTTCAAAAGAGTGTTGAGCTCTGCTTGCTCTTCCTGAGCTGCTGAATACATTGGCCATAAAGAAGAGTGAGGTGAATTGTGCACTGGGGAGGTGTTTTGGCTTTGGCTCTGGGCTGCTTTGGCATCCTCACCAGGATGGGGAATGGAGTGAAGGTGGGAGAAGCTGCACCTCACCTTAGGCTGATTATTTCTCTTTCTTCCAGCTGGAATTAGCCACAGCCAAGAGTGACATGAATCGCCACCTTCATGAATATATGGAAATGTGCAGTATGAAGAGGGGCCTGGATGTACAAATGGAAACCTGTCGGAGGCTTATCAAAGGCTCAGCTGACAGGTAACAAGATATTACCACTCTGCCTGTGGTGCTGCAGGAATTTATGTCCCTCTTGTTGCCTGACAACTTGCTTTAAAGGCAACAGTGTCTTTGTGCCCTATAGCTTTGTCCTTTGGATAATCTTGTTCCATTTAGGGTCAAAACATCAGCCTGAAAAGGAATCCTGCAACAGTTTGTAGGTGCTACACATAGTAACACCTTTAAGGCTTCCACACCTACTGGTAAAACCAGAGATTTCTGCCTTGGATGGACTTTTAGCCTTTAACATCTTAGATTTAGAACTCTAAGAAGCCCAAATTAAATCTTAACTGTGGACTTAAGTGAAGAACTTGGTTTTTAATCTTCTCATATGTTAAGAACCTTAGAGCATGAGGGATTTTTCTTATCTCTTGCTCACCCCCAGTAGAACAAGATAATAAACTTTTCAATTTTCCAGGCTGTACTACACAGAATCACAGAATCATCAAGGTTGGAGAAAACCTCAAAGATCATCAAATCCAACCATTAACCTGTCACTCTGCTGTAACTCCTAAACCCTAAACCATATCCTCCAGTGCCAGATCCAGACACTTCTTAAACATCTGCTTACTCCAGCCCTACTTATTAGGGATGATCAGAGTCTCTGTAGGAGACTTACTTTCCATTTCCCCATCAGTAACCCTAGAAAAGCCTTTGTGTTTGTACAGGAGATTTTTGGGGTGACAACTTCATTTGACTACAGATATTTACTGTAAACCCAACATTTAACTGTAATAAATGACTTTTTTTAGTAGTTTTGGGAAGGGAAAATGACTATTTCCTTAAAGGTTCCTCTTTTTCTTGTCCTTCATTGTTATTTCACTTTTTTTTTTGCCTAATCCTCTCTCTGCATTTCCCTGCAGAAACTCTCCCTCTCCCAGCTCTGTAGCCAGCAGCGACTCAGGAAACACAGATGAAATTCAGGATGAGTTGGACAGAGAGACCGATGTGGAGCCCATGGTCAGCTGATACCAAATTGCAGCATTCCAGTGATGGGAAAGATGGAAGCAAAGATGGAAAATAAAAAAAAAAACCCAATACATTGATGGGGGAAAGATGAAAGACTTGTAAGCCCTCGCAGAGGGTTTCTAAGGACTCATTCCTACACGCATCCCCACTCCACCCAAGGATTGGTGCTGTAAATTTCTATTGTTCTACAAATCATAACTGTAGAGTCCTGTAAGAAAAACATGGTGTTTTCATTGTGCCTTTGCCCCAAGCTGAGCCACTTTGAGCTCCAGTGGAATATTAATAGCAGGTGTTTTTATAAAACCTATTCTTTCCGAAAACCAAGCTGGTGGCAGCAGAGAAAGGTGCTGCAAAGGCTCTGGGACTTCAATAAGCTGTTGGTTTTATTGAGCTGCTGCAGATTGGCAAAAAGAACACTGGCAAAAAAAGAGCAGCAAACCCAAGATAATTGTGGTGCAATCACCAATGTCTGGCACAAAAAAAAAAAAAAAGAATGGCCTTCAAATTGAACCTTTCAAAATAACTGTGGGTTTGGAGACAGCTCTTAGGATTAAGCAGTTCTATCATATAAAGGATTCTCTTCATTCCAACTTCGGGGGTGAAGGAGCCTTTGAGATGTGTCTAAGTTTCCTGCTAGACTCCAGGAGCTGGAGCAGCAGGTCTCAGCTCGGTGGCAAAGCAGGTGGGCAGAGGAGGGGGAGGTGGGGGGGGAACTATCACTGATAACTACTATGCAAAAACAAAACAAAAGCTAGCCTTATTTATCTGGAATGTTTGGTCCCTGCTGGGCTCCACTTATCTCTTGGGAAAAGGAAAGCTAAACCCACATTTGCACACTAGTTAGTTGTCTGTAGAGCTTCTTTTGAGGTGGAATGTCATATTCCCATGCCTTTGTTTCCAGTGATTGGATTGGGAGGGGGATCAACCCTTCAGATCCATGTTGATTTGTGTCTTTTTTTCAGGATATATTTTTATTATTTTAGTGTTTGCAGATTTTCCTTTGCTGACAGGGAGAGAACTCCCATTTTATGCTGCTTTCATGATGTTTAGAGTGGGAGAGTTGAAGCATCAGGATAAACTGACATAGTTGTAGGCTGGAGACATGACATTGGGAGAGTTTCAGACCACTGTTCTTCAGGAAAGCTGAACATTGGGAAACTGTAAATCTTTTTAGGGCTCAGTGAACTACTGCTGCCCTAAAATTAGGGAGGAAAAGCCATGTGCTTTCTCTGTGAGAAAGTGGGAAGACCTTGGCTTTGTCCATCTTCCTGTATATTTTACCCAGGAGAAGCAGCAGCAAAAGTTGGATCACTTGGTGGTGATTGAGGAAACTCTGGTTTTATAGAGCTGTTCATGGTTCTGATGGGAATTGGAGCACCTCAGCCAGGTGAAAAGAAAAAAACAGGGTATAAACCTCAGCCAATAATGTATGTGTTTGTTTTTAGACCAAGACTGAAAGTGTGGTTAATACTGCCTAAAGCTAACTGTGGAGGGAACTACCACTTGGAAGACTTGGAGTAAATACCAAATGTATTTTTTTTTCCTGCCAGGAAGCTTAGAAACTTGTGTAGGAGCAGTGCTAGGACTGGACAGGGAAAAAGCCTATTTAAACCCCCTCTCAGTGCTATGTCAAGGTAAGGTGGCCAATCTTCTGAGCTTCCTGACTTTTGTTTCCAAGCCTCTGATGTATTGATCCAGGAGCAGTGGAGTTGCTTTGCAAGCAAACAGCAATATAGATTGGTGTTGCTTAGTTCCAAAAAGAGCACAAGTGGCTTAGAAAATGGCTCATTCCTGGGCAGAAATTCCTGTATCCTGTGGCCATGCAGAGGACAGGACTTTTCTGTTGCACTGGAGCTGTGGATACAGGAATGTCTTCTCCTTTGAGTTTCTGTGTTTGCTGCCTGGAGTTTATCACTGTCACATCCATCTCCTGCTTGGGCATGGTGGTGCTTTTAGGCCATGTGAATCAAATGGGCTCCCTGTGTTTTCCAGAGTGGGGAGGAGGACTGGGATGATCCATCTGGATCCACAATGTGGAGGGACACGATCCTCAATCGATTCCTTCTGTCCAAGGAAATAGATTCAGGGATATTTTTGTGGGGTCTCTGATTGAAATACTCAGTGCAGTTACTCAGAGGAGTTAGCAATTCCTTGGATCCTGTGGTGTGGGTTTGGGGCTTTCCAAAGCCTGTTTCATCCTCTAAATGTAATAACTTTTCTCGAGAAGAGAAAACCTTATTCCAAAGTGCTCATTCCTGTTATTTCTTAGGTGGCCAAAGTGGTAGATGTCATGTTCACTAGGGCTGCAAGCCTGGGGGAGGTGGGTGGATGGGCAAGAGTTGGGATATTTTCCAAGGGGATTGGGAATGCATGTTTGAAATCAGTACTTTTAAGGTTTTTCAAGCCTGTTTGAACCTCAGCTGCTCCTGAGGAGTTTCTCCAAAAGGCTGAGGAACTGTCTGCCAAAGCTGAATGTCTGTGATGCTTTAGTGACTGGGGAGGGGAGAGACATTGCTCAGCTGTACTTGCACAGTGAATCAGCTTCCCTGGAGGTTGTCCTTGGCTCTCCCAGTTAGGGAATGCTCCTTGCCACTGGAGAAATCCAGCAATTTTAAGGATCATTCAGCTTTGCTGCTGTCTTGGGAGGGTTTGGTATTATCCTTCAAAGCTCAGTGTCCTAGCAGGAAAAAGGCTGAGTGCTCTTGGAACTAGGAGCTAGGTGAGGGGAGGGAATATCCCCAGCTGGACATGAGGAAGCAGGAACTCACCTGCAGCAGGGGAAAGTGTAAGGGATGTGGGGCTGTAGTAGAGGGGTTAGGAATCAGGTGTGTGATGGTGATGTGTAGGACAGTAGATTCCCGTGGTGGTTGGTGTCTGTTTCTTATAGCCACATGTAATCCATTTTTAAAGAAGACAAGGTGTTTTCATACTTGGGATTGGGGGTTTCTTTTCATTTAGGGCTGGATCAACCTGGTAGGAATTCCTGAGGTTGGTCCTTGCTAAGTTTTCCTGGGAGGTCTTTGGTTTTGTGTCCAGCTGTGCTGCTGGTGTAGCTACCAGTGCTCTGTGTGTGTATCACCACTCTTAGAAACCAGATCAAAAGCTTACCAGAAACAAACCTAATTGTGAAAATGCTGGAAATGACTTTGATGACCTCTTTGTTTTTCCTTTGTAAAGCTGTAAATACTTTCTTTTTGTTTTCTATTCCTAATGTGGTGTCATATTGACACATTTTTAGACTTAACGACGATCAGAAAATCCTCCTCATTGTTTCTCATTTTTTTAAAAGGGGATTTCAAGGAAGCAAATTTTTTTGCTTGGGAGCAGTGTACAAATAGATCAAATTCCTAAAAAATGGGTTTGTACAAAATGTGTTTTCAGTAGGCAAATGGCAGTTTGTGGATGCATATGGGTCAAAAAATGTCCAAAGAATAATATGGTACAAGAATAATGTGGTACAAACACTTTTTTTTTTTTTTGCAAAGACTTAGTGATGATTATATTAGTTCACACAAGGAAAAAAAAACCCAAAATTGTTGTAAAAAAAATATGTGTTGGGGGAGGGAAATGTACTAAAACTCAGCTAAGCTAAATGTGTAATTTATAAAAACACAATCTATATTCTATTTTTATTAGAGGTTTTTAAAGTGCAAACAGAATTCTGTGAACAAATGCAATCGTGCCCTTGTAAAATCTCTGCTGGGAGCCCCTAAAATTCTCCAACAGTTTCAAGCATCAACATGGAAACAGTGGGAAAAGGTAGAGCCTGTGGAGCACTCACCTGTTGCTGCCTTGGGGGGGAAACCAACAGGTAAACAGCTTTTCTGCCACTGCAGGTTTAGTGCTGTTTCCCTGGGGGATTATTTCCTTCCCCTGAGTGTGAGGTATCCTGCTGGGGAGGGTCAGGACCTCCCTGTGCCCCCCTAAATCCTGGGGGAGGCACAGGAGTTAAATCTCCCCCTGCATGGGGTTTGTGTTCTGCCTGGCTGGGAGATGAATTCTCTTTGTCCTTACCTGTTTAAATTGGGCTGAACTCACTGAAACAAAATAATAGATGAGAATTGTGCCTGAATATGGATCTAAAGCTGCTTCTAAAATGAGATCAGATGAATTTTTTATTATTTTTTTTTTTGGCCAGAATCATTCTTGCCAGCAAAAACACAAGTTGGCTCATGGGTCCAGGCTTGGCTGAGGAACAACCAGTGCAGTCAGTGGGTGCTCATGGCCTTGCAGGCTCTGTCAAGCAACTACTTCCTTGTGTTTCCTTTGGCTCTGGGAAAACAGGGAAGGATGTTTGTGTTGGAAGAATTGCAATAGTGGAAAGTCTGTTTCACGTTTGAGTGCTTCATTTTAGAGCTGAATGTTTAAAAGAATTGGTTTCTCCCAGCCAAATGAAGACATCCTAGTGCTTCCTTTGTATCCTAACACCCTGATGAGGATTTTCCACTTTTTGCTTCAGGATTTCTGGGGTTTTATTCTTTTGCACTGGGCCAGGACTTGGTTGCAGGGGAACACACAGGTTTTAAAACTCTTTGCCTTCAGTGCTGTCACCCAAATGCTTGATTTGAAGCTTTTTAGAGGAGGATGTAACTTGAGTCAGTTTGGGTTTTAAATGAGGAAAGAAATTGCCATTGAGGCAACGCGTGGTGTCCTGGTGTTAGTCACACTGGGACTAGAGGTGAGCTGCAAACACTCCCTCCCAAATTCCTCTTGGGAATGAAGTCCCAGCCTCTCTCCCCTGGGGAGGGAACACTGAGGGCTTGAACAAGCCTTTGGCAGAGTAGTGAAGAAACACTTGATTCCTTCTTTTTGTCTGTTTTTGTGTGTAGCTCAGTGTCTTAAGACCCTTCTGCATTCGCAGGAGCCTTTCGAAGCTTCTCTTTTGAGGAAGCAACAAATTGTGGTGAAGAAGTGGCTATTGGATCGTAGGAATCACAATTCCCTCCTAATTTGAGGCACTCCAACAGTGAAGCACTTGTGGAAGCACAGGTGGTGCTTGT